ATAATAAAATAAATAAAATTGATTTTTATTCATTCTTAATAATATCTAATACTCTTTTCAGTAATACACTAAAATGAGCAGTCCTATATAAAACAAAACATTTGGTGCATGATAATATTTTTGATTTCATTTCTATTTCTTAATATCTAATACACCTCATACACAAAAATGAGTAGTCATATAATGAATGAAAAATGGGTGCATGTTACTCCAAACAAAGTATTTTCTTCATCAAGACTTGCACATTCAAACATATACATTCACATGTAATCATTTTTGTCAAATGGTGTTTTTCAGACTCCGTGGTTTTGGGATCACCGCGAATGCTGGCGCGGATACCCGAGACAGGTCCGTAACAAACGGCTCTCCACACACATTCACTTCCTGCTGAACAATCCCAGGAACTTGAGATTAGGCAGAAATCGGAGGAACTAGTGAGCGCCGCACCCCACGATCCGATCAAAACAGTCGAGACTTATCTCATGAGAGCCAGAATCATCTGCGAAATATTACAATAAAAACTGTTTTTTTTGTAAAAACAGGTTTCATTTGTTCTCAGAAACTAGTGAATTTTAGGGATGAAATGTTTCTGTTGTTAACTAGATATTTGTACCTTGTTACCTTCCACTTGATTACTGCTGCGTTTTCCAGATGCTATTATTTGTGATTTGGTCTGCAGGCCGTAGCAGAAGCTCAGTACTGGTATTACATCATGGAGTTGTCCTTCTACCTCTCGCTTCTGCTCTGCGTATCGGTGGACGTGAAGCGCAAAGTAAGTTTCCTGAAATTTTGTGTGAAATTTCCTTCGAAAGATGAATTGTGCGTATTTGTTTGTTTTGGTTGTGTAGGATTTCAAAGAGCAGATCATTCACCACATCGCCACCATTTTCCTCATCGCGTTCTCGTACTGCGCGAACTACGCGCGCGTGGGAACCCTGGTGATGCTCGTCCACGACTCTTCTGACTTCCTGTTGGAGGTAAATCTGATTGGCCGATCTGTCAGCTTCCATTATGACATCATGGATGTAGAGCTCAATGAAATGTTTTCTTTTTTCACAAATTCCATGTTTTTCTGTGTTCATTTTTCTGGAGTCCATTTTGTTTTTGTTTTTCCTTGTTTTAATCTTTCTGGACTCCCTTTAAATGGTTAAATTAAATTACATTACATTTTAGTCGTGAAAGCGCACGTCTAATCAATTGAAATCATGAAACCTGTACAATTTAAGAACAATCTATTAAAAGTTTTACAAGCATTACATTTTTAGGGTCCTATGAAATACATTTAATTTCCCCCTACTAATTCTGTTTATTTTTAACAAATTCTGTTTTTTAATTTTTTGGATTAGCTTTTAATGGTTTAATTAAAGATTATTATTCAAAAAGCATGTCAAATTAAGTAAATTCAATAAAACTATTTAATACATTTTTTAGATAAAACAATTTTTAATAGGGCACTATGAAATCTTTTGTTTGTTTGTTTTTCAGAAATTATGATCATTATAAAAAAAAATGAGTGCTTTTTTAAATGAAGAAATTAATTATTTTAATAAACTAATTTCTGGTAAATAAATGAAGGCATCAAACATTCATTTCATTTATCCTTTAATCAAATGAAATTTAAAACAAATTTTTTTTTTTTTTTTTTTTTGGCAAACAAAGTGCTCCACAGCTGAGGATTATTGTTAAAATGAAAACCTGGACGAAAAATTGTGATTATTCCTTTAATAAAAAAGTTTGAATAACAACAGTTATATGGTCATGTTTGCTATCTTTGTTAATTCGCAAAGTCCACCTAAGGTAATTGGAGTTCATTGCATTAGTTTTTAACACACCAATACTGAAAAACAGGATTCTGAGAGTATTTATTTTAGAAGATGTTTCATGTTCTTTTTGCTTAAGGGGTTAATAAATACCAGAAAATACATTATGGATGTATACACACACACACACACACACACACACAGAAAGCTCATCTTATTGAAACAGAATAAAGTACATAAATGACTTTGACTTATACAAGTCAATTTTTAAACAAATAATAAAGATATATATGAGCAATATCACTCGAGTACGAGAGCGATACCGGCTCTATATCTCGAGTACTCGAGTGATATTGCGTTTATACAACAGTTCGACGGAACGTGTGTGTAATTAAACAAGAAACAACGGAGTGCCTAATAAAACCCTCTTTTGTGCGGAACTACTTCCTTCAGCCACGGATTCAAAGCTCAAGTTGACAGTTAAACATACGTCACTTTTAGAATTCGTATCAAGGGCATGTGCTGCTTCAGTTAGGTTATTAGTGAGAAATAATGAGGTTATAAGAGAGAAACAATGCGGCAAGACGTGCATCCAAATGAGAGAGAGAGACCGCGAAGCTAGACGTTTCTTCTTATATTAACTAACGTACTCTACGATTAGCTCAGTAAATAATAAAAAAAAACATAGACCCGGCTAGAACAAGCAGAGTGATACAAAATTGTGAAAGGGCGTTCCTGTAGCGATACCAGTACGATATCTCACGGTTCTCAACCAATCAGATTTGAGAACCAGAACGAACTGTTGTATAAAAAGAAATAACTAATGTTTTGTTTTTGCTTGATTTGCAGTCTGCTAAGATGTTCAATTATGCTGGATGGAGAAAGACCTGTGATGCCTTGTTTGTCTTTTTCGCCGCCGTATTCCTGGTAACTCGCCTTGTGGTGTTCCCATGCAGGTAATTTCAAATCATTTTGAATGGGTCTTCTCAAATCTAAGACGTTGACGTGGCTAAAATCTTCTTATGATTTATGAACTGTATTTTGGTTTATTTCCAGAATCGTCTACACAGCTGTGGTAGATTCGTTGGACGTCTTTCCTCCGTACTCTGGTTATTATTTCTTGAACGGCCTGTTGCTGGTTCTTCAAGCCCTGCACATCTTCTGGGCTTGGCTGATTCTTCGAATGGTTCACAAATTTATCTTTTTAGGCAAAGTGAGTATCTTAAGTTGTAAGTTTATAAATGATGTTATCCCTCAATTTTCGAACAAACATGTTTTTAAGGTGGAACGCGATGAACGGAGCGATGAAGAGAGTGAGGCTGATGAAGAGGAAGAAGAAGATGGAGAAGAAGAACACAGCTGGGAGCAGAAAAAGGGTGCCCTTAACTCTAAATTGGCATCGTTGGCCAGTAACTGTGTTCTGAACAATTTAACGAATCGGAGGCGAAAAATGAATAGCAGAATGCCGAAAGCCAGATAGTAATGCTACTTAATGTATTTAAACTTGTTAAATCATCTCCAACTTTCTTGGCTTATCTTGTTTATCATGGTCCTACAGTAATTTCAGACCGCTGATGTTTTGTTTTCCTGAAAACATAATGCATAGTCAGAAGATTGCATAAAAAAACAAAAAATACTACTAGTTTGTATTATTATATTACCATTGGAGTATATTGGAAATAGGTTCAACTTGAATTAATTTGTTTCAAATTAGTATAATTAATTATAGTGCATTGGCTGAGTAGCACTTAAACTCAGATTAAAAAGTTTGCGTAGATAAAAATGGTTCATAAACAGACATCTTGAGTATTTAATTGTTGAATAGTTTACTAATTCTGCAACTGTTCATTATGGAACAGTGATATTTAAATAAAAAAAAAAATGAGTTGGCTCTCCTGACTAGAGAGACCCACAACATTTAGATGCATTCTTTTTAAATACTTTTGTATTGGTATAGGTATTCTTCTAAGTTGTGTGGAAATGTGTGAATTTTCTGCAGTGGCTGTTGTTTTCAAAATTGGCATTGGTGGACCACTGGGAAAGACTCGCGGCGCCATCTTGTGTGAAGTGTCCACTTGTCTTAGTGATTCTGCTACTGAAAGATTTTGTTGCAAGAAACTACTGGAGTTTGTTAGATGGCACTTTGGTTGTGCATTGCCTTACCAAATGAGGAATCAGATGATATCTCACTGGAGCATGTGCCTCGAAATCTTAAAAGTCAAAGGGGATAGTTGAATTTGAGGAAGCCTCTGTAGGCCCCTTGATTTATATAATCTGCTCCAAGGGCTAAAGGCAAAGTGTTTTTGTTGTTCTAGATGGTTCTAGAAAGTTTATTGGCACAGTAGCCATAACAGACCTTTCGTTCTAAAGCTGTGCATCTGTCTTTCACTGTTTAAATGATGTTTAAAAAAACAAAACCTGTGATTGTTTTTATTAATTTTCCTCTTTTTTTACTGGGATTTACCATGTTCTGAGTTTGTTAATGCAACATTTTGTAGCTGTTATAATACTTGTAACAATGACAGAAGAGGGATATATTCTTAGAATCTTAAATACTGTTAATGTTGCATACTTGCTTCTCATTCAACACTTTTCTCTGACCTTTTGAATAACAATAAAAAAGTTTTAGAATATGATTATCCTCAACGTTGCTGAACAAAATGTTCCTGCATTGGTTTAATACTTGTCCTCTGACTTAAAGAAGGAATAGTGTTGACATTATGGCGTTAGAAAGGATTGACATGCATTGTGATACAACCTCTTATGGGGGCAGGACAGGGTATTTTATCATCAACTTCCAAGCAAGTGTCAATGTAAGGGTCCAGTAGAATCATGTTTGGGTACGTTTTGTTTATCTTTCTCTCGCTTATTATGTAAATCTGCCCGTTAACTGTGGCACAGCCTGTGAAAAATGTATTGTCCAGACAGTCCTCTTGAAGAACGGTCCACTCGTCTGTGTCATTGTCATTGTCATTGCAACAGAGCTCAATGGTGCTCTCTGTTGCAAGAAGGTCGTAACTGGAAAAGAAGTACACATGTATCCAATAAGAATTCACTTTGGCTTACCAAAGTGTATAGAACTGATACAGAACTATTTGTGGTGGCATCTTTGAAAAGTATTGCCTTAAAAAGAGTGGACAACATTGGCTCTTGAGTTTAGCTCCAACCCTAATCAATCACACCTGTGCAATTTTCAAATAATCCTGTTAAATGTTTTAGATGCATTTGGGGTTGGAAGTAAAATCTGCAGGGCAGTTGACCTTGAGGGCAAGACTTGCCCAAGCCTTGCTTAGAACAAGTTAGACACAACTGTGTCTACTCACCGTGGGAATGGAGAATAGGACACCACATCCCATTGATCAACCTCTGGCCTGTACCTCTGAATCCCACTGTAAACATCCCCATTCTCATCTAGACCACAGGCCACGTAAATACTAGTCCCCATAGTGACAATGACTGCCCTTTCCACAGCCCGCACCATGGGGCTGATGGTGTCCCATTCCTCGGCTCCCAAAACCAGCTTCTCGACGTCAGCCACAGGCCCCTCATCCATGCTACCACCAAACACAAACAGCTGGAACTCCAGAGCCCGCTGAGCAGTGGCTGTGTCTGGACTTCTGCATTGCCGGGCCATCCACCCATCGCTTGTTGCCATGCTCGTAAATGCTCACCCAGTCCACACTAAACCATAACGGGGGGAAGTCGTGGCCTAATGGTTAGAGAGTCGGACTCATAACCCAAAGGTTGTGGGTTCGAGTCT